AGTAATATAACAAACTAAATAATATCTATATCCTTCCAGAGCTAAAGACTACAGTTGAAACCTATATGTAATAGACACTTGAATTAGATGTATGTGTTAATAGGTACCGGAGCTGGGTGATACTAATGAGACCAGTGAATATGCTGTTCGGGTGCCCAGGGTCCGGGGACCCCACTCTGCACGGGACACCTCCTCCCACCTCCACACCTTTCCAGGGCCACACACGGGCCTGAATGCACACGCATGAGGCACACAGACGTGAGTCCACACATGCACACGTGCACAGGCACACAACTGTGCACACAGACACAGACACGCACACACCGTGGCAGGAGAACATCCTGAATTAACCTAAAAGCTATTTTCATTTGACACTGAGATGGTTCGTGTGCCGTCCTTATTAAAAAACTCCCAAAAGTGACTTCCTAGGTGCTGGCTGAGCTTCTGCATGGCCACCTGAGTGTGCACATGGGTGGGTGTAGGAGTGTGTGCATGTGGGCGTGTGTAGGAGTGAGTCCATGTGGGTGGGTGTGCCCCCTCTGGGCATGAGGACTCACAGGTTCTGCTGCCAGTCCTGGTAGGAGGCCGCCCCGCAGCACTGCAGCCCGAGCTGGACTTGGTCCATGAGGAAGCACAGGTCAGGGTCATCCTGGTAGTGGGTGATGGCCACGTGCAGGGCGCGCTCCAGGCCGGCCTGCAGGGGGCCCCAGAGGGCCACCACCAGGGCCCCTGCCAGGGCCTCCAGCACCAGGAAGGCCAGGAGGCCCCCGGAGAAGCAGCGCAGCAGGCAGGCGTTCTCACAGAGGGCGCCCAGGCAGCCGGCCAGGCTCACCGCGCTGACCGCCAGCCCCCCCAGCACCAGCCCCAGCATGGGGTCTGCAGGCAGGGGCCCCCCCCAGCTGCTCCCCAGAGAGCCCTTGACAGCCAGGCCCCAGAGCCCGATGGCCAGGGCCAGCAGGCCGAGCAGAGAGAAGAGGAAGTTGGACAGAAAGATCAGGCACTGGAGGCAGCTGCTTCTCAGCGGGAGGGAGGGGGCCTGGCCTCCCCCCAGGCCTGCCCTCCAGGCCCGTCCCTCCTGGAGCACTGGGCCCAGGCAGCTGGCAGGGAGGGGTGGCTCCTGGCCCCCAGCATCCTGCAGAGGGAGGAGGGCCAGGGGTCAGAGCCTGCAGGGCGAGGGAGCGGTCAGTGGAGGGGGCAGTTCAGAGACCCTAGACAGCCAGGGACATGGGCATGGGGAAGGGGCGCCGGGGAGGTGAGGGGGCTGAGGAGTCGGGTGTTGGAGGCGGGTGGGGAGGACGTGAGGGAGGCCCGAGGCCCCGTGCTTTCCTGGGGGCATGGATGCACCCCGAGCTGGGTCAAATGCAAGGGCAAGGCTGGGCCACACCCCAGAGTCCAAACGGGGTGCGGGGCGAGGTGAACAGCCCACCCCAATCCTAGCAGCTCCTACGGGCCTTGGGCTTGGGGACATCTCCAACCGGGGGAGGCCGCCAGGGCACTGACTCACCTGGGACAGCAGGGGGCTCTTCTCGCCCTCCTCCATCCGCCCCTCCCCCCAGGACAGGTGCGCTGGTCTCTGCGGCCCCTCTGGCGGGGACACAGATGCGGGGCCGGTGCTGTCCTGTGCCCACCACTCTGGGAGCCGGGAGCTCAGGGCCGGGTGAGCCGATGCCGCGTCACGAGGGGATCATGTGAGGAATCACAGTTTAGGGCCCAGGACCGCCCCTGCTTGTCCAGACGCAGCCGCCTTTCTTTCTGAGCCAGTTCTCAGCCTCACTCTGTGGGCACCAAGGGGTGGGCTGCCTCATGGCCATCAGATTTTGTAATCCAAAGAAAATACAATAATTTCAAGAGAAACATCAGAAGTGCTTTATTCAAAGTAATGTCCATCGCTAGCTACACATTTCCCCCATCTTTCAGGTGATTTGTGGATACCGTCCCAATAGAACTTTTCTTGTTTTGAGGCAGACCATTCAGAGACCCAAATTTCCACTTCTTTGTACGTTTTGAAGTGCTGCTCAGAAAACGCATGTGCCGTCGATCAGAACAAGTGGTCATCTGAAGGAGCAATACAACAAAACAGCATACATATCAAATCGCATATATATCAACATATGTGTAACTCCGTCTAGTGAAAAAAAATCCGCATTATTAACCGGTACACCTAGTACGTATTAAAAAAACAACAAACAAGCAAACAAACAGAAAACCCCCAAGGGGTAGGACTTTGTCATGGTGACCACTGTGCCCCGTGCCTAGTACGCCCTAAGGAAAATCAGTGTAGCCCCGGGCGGTGTGGCTCAGTTGTTTGGATTGTTGTCCCATAAACTGAAGGTTCACGGGTTCAGTTCCCGGTCAGGACACATGTCCAGGTTGTGGGTTTGATCCCCGGTTGGGGCGCTTACGGAGGCAGCTGATCAATGTTTCCCTCACATCAATGCTTCTCTCTCTCTCTCTCCTTCTCCCTCTCCCTTCCTCTCTGAAATCAATAAAAACATGTGAGAGATGGAACCACTCCTTAAAAATAAAAGTATTTGGTGATGAAATAAGTCAGTGGAACAGCACGTGTCCCAAACACTGACATTGTAACAGTCACAACAAAACCAGGTGGAGAGGGGAACAGGTCCAGACTGTCTCCAGCACAGCAGTTACATGAACACCATCTGAAAGTGAACCACAGGGTTAAAAGCATGGCTTTTCGCCGCTTGGATGTTCCGTAACTGTTTTGCAAATCAAGGGCAAAGTCAGCTACAAAACCTGCAGGGCCCAGCGCAACCTGAAAACGCGGAGCTCCTTGTGCAAAATTACTAACAATTTCAAGACGGTGCGCTGAGCGGGGGGCCTCTGCGGCTGAGGCGGGACGCGGCCGGACACGCCTGCAGGAGGGACATTGCTCTAAAACGCAGCCAAGCCCTGGCCGGTGAGGCTCGGAGGCTAGAGCGCCGGCCGCAGACCAAGGCTCCCGGCTTCCACCCCGGGGGTCAGGGCCCGCGCCTGGGTGGTGGGCTCCCTCCCCAGTGGGGGCGAAGCCCAGCAGCGACTCTCATCATCATGTTTCCCTCTTCCTCTCCCTTCCTCCCTGAAATCAAGAAAAAAAAATATAAATTTTTGTTCAGTTGCGGCGCACATGCAACAGGACTTCACGTCAGCTCCCGATGTACAGAACCTGCCTCTCCAAGCGCTTTCGCCGGGGTGGGGGGCAGCGAGGGGGGGGCCGTAACGGGGCAGCTTTCTTTGAGAACCCCTCAGCCATCAAGTTTTCTTCACTTGGCCCGTCTCCCTACACAATGTTGGCCCGAACTTGGCTCTGGCTACGGGTCGGCGTTTTGTGCGCGAAAATGGCGATAATGTTAGTACCATATACGGAGGTAGAGAGGTGCAGACATTATTTCAGAA